CCCCCGGGTCACTGTCACCACCACCAGATGGACTTTGGACTTCCCAGCCTCAGAAACTGTAGACAATAAATGTTGCTTTTCTTTATAAATGACTCCGTTTCAGGTATTTTGTTAGAAGCAACATAAATGGACGGCTACAGGACGGCACTGCACACCCCGCCTGAGGCGTGCGGGCTGCATCTGCTTCACACGAGCAGCTTCCACTCCTCCCTCATTCTAGCTCTGTGATGGGGTGGAAGAGAGTGGTGGCCTGTCCCCGAGGCCCTGTCAGCCCCGTAGGGAGCCCGGTAGACCCGCTTGCGGTGGGCTCCCCAGTCTGGGGTTATCAAGCCCCCGGGGACACCGATGCCCACCGCGGTCTGAGGACCGCTGACCTGGAGGAAGGGTAGGCGGGATGTGGCACGTCCTTCAGCTTCCTTGTGCCGTTTTCTCTGCTGTGAACGGGGTAGGGTACCTGCTGCCTGAGCCCATTGCGTGCAGAACGCAACACCTTTGGAGAGCGCTGGCCACCCCCCGCCGCCCCCACCGGGCTCCGGGCCTGGCAGGGTGGCATAGAGACCAGGGCCTGGCCCGCAGCAGGTGCTGGGCACGTGTGTGCCACACGCACGACGGCTGCTGCTGTACGACTGTGACAGGACAGCACCTTTGCTGCGTGAGCTAAAGGACGATGTGCCTGAAGTCCCGGCGGGCTCCGGCCACACGTCTAAGGCTGAATTTCTTCACAGGGAAGTTCCCGCCACTGTGACTAAGACGCCCGGGTGGTTAGAAAAGGAACTTTTTCCTACTGAAACTTCTCCTTCGAATGTGCGAGACACTGCCTGCCTGAATCCCCGGGGTGCCCATCAACTGCGATTCGGGGATGCATCACGTCTCTCACGGAGCCCGTCACGTTTCCCGGGTTTGGATCGCAACATCCCGGGTTCAGGTCCAGACTGGCCACGTCATGGCCGCAGGAGGGCGAGGCCCTGAGCCTCCTGTCTGTACACGCGGGGCGCTGCCTCTTGAGCTACCTGAAAAGTCGTATCTGACGAGCCCCATCCACCGTTTCTTTTCGCTGTCCTTGATGATGTCACCGTAGAAGCCGTAGCCCAGCAGGGACACCGAGTAGCGCAGCAGCGTGCTGTTGTGGTGCACCGAGGACACGTCCATGGGCAGAGAGTCGCCTGTGGGAGAGATGCACGTGGAACCACGGTCCCTGCCCCCTGAACCTGCCACTCTGTCCCCAGAACATACTCGCAGAGGAGGTGCTCAGTGACGACGTAAAATACACAGAGAGCATTCAACGCCACGATCCGTGTGGTTCTGATTCAAATGATAAAACCTGACTCAGATTTCCAAAATGGCCTTGGGGAGCGGTTCTGTGGGGACAGAATGAGAATGTACCCACAAAGCTCGTCAGGTGTCACCAAATGAAAGGCAGACTTGACAAGGAGGAGACGGGGCATAGCATGTTAAAATACAAAACCTTGAGTGGCTGTTTTTAAACATAAAATCTGTTGACTTCAGGTCAGACACCACGACACCATGAACAGGGACGGGAGGGGCACTGCGCATTTGTCACACAGGCGCCTTGCCGAGCTCAAGCAACGTCACAGCCCCGCCTATCTTTTTGACTCAGTGCCTAGAGCAGCCCCCAACGTGCCAGTCGACTGCAGGTAACCGTGGCACAGCCAACTGTCCCCACCACACAGACACGGCCATGAAGAGGAGCACAGGCAGCTTCCCGTCCCCAGGGACAGCAGCACCCAGAGGAGTAAAGGATGGCTTCTGTGGAGAGGATGACGCAGGACCAGGGACCCAGCGTGCCCGCAAGGGGCTGGGCCAGGGCGAGTTCTGAGACGAGAGCGCAGAGAGAGCACTAGGACGTGGTGTGGGTGTGTTACAGGACAGAGGGAGGTGGCACAGGGACACAGGGACACACGGGGACACATGGGGAGGCCCCAGGCCAGGAGGCTGGCCGTCATGTGCACCCCCACGTTCTGGGCAGGGGTGTGGCACGATGGGTTGTGCTTCCAGAAGGTCCCTCTGACTGTCGGGGGGAGACAGGACTGGAAGGGGGTGAGCGAAGGGCTGTGCAGAGACAGGAGGAAGCGGCCAACGTGGGCTGCCCATGGCAGGGCCAAGGCATCGAGAACGGTGGGAAGGTGGGTCTGCTGTGCATTTGCTTGGGACGCTACTGGGACTGTCAGTCGGGTGTAAATCACCGAGAAAGGGACTCACCGATGATGATGTGCAGAGCTGAGGTCTCTGCGTCATTCGTGCCCACCGTTGAATAGCACACGCAGTCTGTTGACCCTGAAACAGGGACGGTAAATGTCCTTAATACCGTTACAATAATTTTAAACCGCAGCAGCCTTCTAACTAACTGAGTGTTACCCTATTAATTTTCTCCCTTGGCTATGGAGTAAATAAGAAGGAATAGAATTTCAAAATGAAGATTGAGATGATGCATCAAAGACATTGAGACTGACCTTGCAATAATATCAAGTAGCACCTTACAGAGTTGCTGGTGACACGCACCCCTGCTGGCATCGAGAGGAGCCCCCAGGGAATGCCTGCAGCAACGGCCGCGTGTCCTCCCCGCCTCTCTTCCTGGCCCCCAGGGAGTCTGGCAGGGCCACATCACAGCCCAGACATAAGAGCAAAAGGAATCTGCCTGGAGCCTGGCCAGCGGGAGCATGTGTGCAAAGCAAGGTCGACTGGAAGGTCATGGGAAAACACCAGTAAAGCAGTTTTCACACCAAGACATGACTCGGTTCACAGTGAAGAGCTGTGCCAGCTCACAGGCGGGGGGGCGTCTGGCTGCACCTGCTCTGCACCCACCCACTGACCACGGCGAGCACCCAGCACCTGGCTATGGCCAGGGCCCCGCTTCCTCATCTGTAAGGTGGGGGTGACCAGTGTGGCCTCAAAGTGCTGGAGAGGTGTCAACACGTGGCGTGCTGCCCCGGCGCATGGGTCATCGTCTGTTTCATGGGTCACGGCTGCAGGTCCTCCCATGGTTTGTCTTGTCCTAGCTGGGTCACAAGGTTGAGGTTGGCATTCTCAACCCTGGGTACACACAAAATCTCCTGAGGGGCTTAGAACAGCGATTCCTGGGCCGGCCCCGTGGCGCACTCGGGAGAGTGCGGCGCTTGGGAGCACAGCAGCGCTCCCGCCGCAGGTTCGGATCCTATATAGGGATGACTGGTGCGCTCACTGGCTGAGCGTGGTGCAGGCGACACCAAGCCAAGGGTTGTGATCCCCTTACTGGTCACAAAAAAAGACAAAAAAAAAAAAAAAAAAAAAAAAAAAAAGAACAGCGATTCCTGAGCCCCCACACCCAAGATTCTGACTCAGTAGGTCTAGGAAGGGCTCAGCAGTCTGAATACTTAACAGATCTGCTGAGTAGCTGAAACACCCTAGTCTCGATTTCCCCGGAATAAACTGTGTGACAGTTGAAAGGGCGGACGACCCGAGCTGATAAGGCGACAGAACCCGAGCTGACAGTTCACCAGAGAAGTTCCACTTTATTCAAGAACTGTGCGTACATTTATAGGGAGCTGCGTTCTGGGTTTGGATAGGGGTTGGACGGGGCGGTAGCTGATTGGACGGGGCTGGGCAGGAGGTGAGCCCTGACCTGTGACTGGCTGAGGTTTGGCGCGGATGGGCTTGGGTGTTGGCACCGGCGGGCTTGTTTACTGCGGAGAAGAACCCAGAAGGGCGCCATATTGCTAGGGAATGCTCTCCCCCCTCCCCCTCCACTTGAGTGCCCACGGTGTCCTTACAACAGTAACTACCGTTTGCATAATACCGTCGCAGGCACAGAACCATTCACTAGGGAGCAACCACATGTGCTTACAGGTCCAGCAAGTCCCGGGTGCTCTGCCCTAGCCCCAGAACAGTCTACGGGTCTCTGCTCGTAAGTGACATCTGAAAGTTCATGGGTCTGCACAGAAGGGTTAGGTCGTGAGCCCTCTTGGTGATCTCGCAGTGTCCCAGAACCCGGTTCAGCTTGAGACCTCTTGGCTGACGCAGGGCTCGTGAGGGCCGGTAATGTACACACACACACGCACTTTTATTTTGTATTTTTTCTTTTTTTCACCCTAAAGACATGAGTTACATCTCATTTCAAAAATGAGACAAAAAGTGAAAAATTTTAAAACAAACATTAATATTATAGGAGTGACTAATTCTTGAAATGTAATTAACAGCATCTAAGAAAAACTATGTGGTTTCAGACTATCTCCCGCCCCCTCATCTTTATAACCACGGGCACCTGAGAAACAAAAATCAGCATTTCTGAGAGAACAAACGCGAAAAGAGCTATTTAATTACCTCACCCCACGGCCAGAGGTAAGTCCTCCTCACCCTGGAACTTCACATGATGTCCCCGGGACCTCGGCTCTGCTGCCTGGGTGGCGTTTACACTCCTCACAAATCATCCTTCAGAACAAAAACCAACAGACATCCAGCCTGCCTGCGTGTGGTCAGCTGTCACTGTGTGTCCAGTTCCTTCTAGTCAGTGGAAATTCAGCAATGACCACAAACAAGAACACGGGGAGAGTGGTTTTTACGTTGCTCCATATTCTATAAGCCCAGGACTCCCAAAGTCCATTCCTTATTCCTGGGTCCATTTTGGATCTAATCGCTCTATATCACACAGACATTATAGGAAAACTAAAAATTTTTGAGACCGGCCGCACCACGCTCAGCCAGTGAGCGCACCGGTCATCCCTATATAGGATCCGAACCCGTGGCAGGAGCGCTGCTGCGCTCCCAGCGCCGCACTCTCCCGAGTGCGCCACGAGCTCGGCCCAAAACTAAATATTTTAAAAGGGAACTTCATACAGGGCTTTGTCCTGGGGTAAAAAGCAAGTATTTCTGACCTTGCCACGTCATCCTTTACAACCACAAAATCTACAACCACAATAAAAACGGGTGGCCGACCTCAACCGTGGCGACCTAACCGCGGCGACCTAACGGCGGCTCCTCTGGGGAGGGCTGTGACTGGCCAGAGCTCAGACGTCAGGCCCAGGGCCACGCCTGGGGCCCTCTGGGCCAGCTCCAGGTTTCTAGACTGTCAAAGGTCATTCAATAGCAAGTGACTGTAAACACTTTCTATTGATTAAATAGGTGTGAGACGGCTCAGGCCATAAAGGCACTTGAATTCTAAAGAGAAAACAGAGGACTCACGGGGCCCTGCCCCTGGACTGGGCACATATTCGCTCTCCACGTCACCTGCGTCCTTCTGGGCCATCAAGATGGCAGGCAAACTGAGTTTTCTAATAGGTTTCAGGGATTATTTTGCTCAATTAATCAGAATTTCGTGGATGAGAAAACTGAGGCACAGAGTGGGCATTTTACCTGTGACAGGTTAGGTATGTTGTCCCCCCAAAACTCATGTTGAAATCTGACCCCCAATGTGGCAGTGTTGAGAGCTGTTTGGGTCATGGGGGTGGATCCCTCGTGAATGGATTAATGCTGTCCCCGGAGGAGGGGGATTAATGAGTGAGTTCCCGCTCTATTAGTTCTTGTGAGCGCTGGTTTTAAAAGGAGCCCGGCACCTCCCGCGCCCCCCTTGCTTCCTCTCACCATATGATCTTGCACCCGCCGGCTCCCTGCCATTTTCCGCCATGAGTAGAAGCAGCCTGAGGTCCACACCAGATGCAGCTGTGTCAGAATCGTGAGCCAAATAAACCATTTTTCTTTATAAATTACCCAGACTCATGTATTCTATCACAGCAACACACAGACTAACGCACCTGCCCGAGGCCACAATTGGGCCCCCGGTAGGTGCACCACATCCAGCAAGCCCCCAGTTTCCCAGAGACCTGGGGCCACTCTCACTGCCACTTCTCCTGTCCCAGGACCCCATCTGTCACTGAGTCCTTAGAGACCGCCTCCTTAACTCCAAGCTAGCCTCTCCACCTGTCTCAGGTCCGATTCTCTGGTCTTCAGGGGCATCTGCAGCAGGCCAGCGCAGAGAGTGCCCGCGTCGGGACCAGGAGGAGGAGGTGTAGGCGGCAGTTCACTGGTGGACTGGACCTAAGGGAGGGTCCGGTCCTCCCCGGGGAGAGAACGTGCTGTAGGGAGGTTGGGCCCTGTGGCTCTAAGACCCCCAGGGCCTTCGAGGAGGCCAATGTCCCAGGGAGCGCTGTGCAAGGGTATTTCCCCTGCTCCGCCCACCCAGACCTTCCACCTGGCGTCCCCCAGAGTGTCCCCACAGCCCAGCTGGCAAGGAGCTGAGGAATGGAAGCCAGGAGCTAATGCTGGCACCAGGGGGCCAGGCATCCGGGATGCTCTTCTTGCTGTCCTCGGCCACTGCCCTGTCCTCCGACATGTGTAGACGTGAGCCCTGGCCATTGGAATAGTAACAGCCTGGTCAGAGTGCTGGTCACCTGAGGCTGGGGACAGTCATGCTCGGTCCTAGTGAGGAGTCCTAAAGCAGGGTGGCTTCAGCTTGACTTGACCTCATGTCCTCCGAGTTGGCAGCTGTGCAGCCAAGTGCCAGTCTCCAGGACTGCTGGAGGAAGGCTGGAGACTGCCCGTAGAAGCATCCGGGCATCAGGCACCCCCACGTTCAACCACAGGGTCAGGCAGAGGGAGCTCCTTCGCTTCTGTCTTCAGATGGTCTCCTCCTGTGCCAGACAGTGTCCCGAAGGGCTGCCCTGACCCAGCGGTGACATCTGCACGTGTGTGTGTATGTGCGTGCACGCGTGTGCAAGTGTGTGTGCATGCGTATGTGCGTGTGTGTGCACGTACATGTGTATGCGTGTGTGTTCACAGAAGACCTTTGGTTCCCCAGCCTGGGTGAATGTCAGGGCTCCTTGGAGTAGGACGCTCATGTCGCCTGCTCTTCTTCCTGCTGTGCCATCTGCAGGAAACTAGGTTTTTAACCCAATCATGCGACCTATGTGAGGACAGTGGGGACCAATGTGCCACTCGCTGCATGTGCTCACCAGCCTACCCAGCTCCACCACCCCCGGACGGCAAAGACAGAAGGGCCAGCAGGACTCGGAGCTCTACTGTGAATCGGTGCACACACCTGCAGGAGAGGCTGGGACTGGTCCAACTGACAGGTTTAGGTTAAGTATTTATTGTTTTTTAAAAAGTAAATTAAAAATAAAAAGAAGGCATCTTCCGCCTTCAAATGCTTCTGGCTTAGAAACACAGAGCTGGCCACTGTTTCTCGACATTCCCTGCGCCAGTGTCTCCCTAGAGCTCGAGGGACACAGCTCGAACCCCTCCTGTAGTGCGCAAGGCCTTTGTGACTGCCAAGCACGAGCCTCGTGTCCCTTCTGCTAAAGGGAACCACGTGGTCTCACATCCTAGACGCTGGGACTGGCACCGTCCCCTCCCCTTCTCTGCCTGCCCATGTCGTGCTCAGCGGGCATGACTCGGTTCCAGCATCAACCCCTTCAGTAGCCTCCCTGACACTCAGGCTGAGTGACTCGGGTCCTCTGTGTTCTCGGGGTCCCCGTGAAGCCCCCACCTCGCAGGTGCCCTCTACTGAACTGGCTGAGTGTGCGTCGCTCCCCTCCTGGCAGCGCACAAAGGTGAGCACCTCCAGTCTGCGACGTGCCCCCCTTGGAAGCCCAGTCGCCCTGGGCCGGGACAGAGCAGGCAGCGGGCAGGTATGTCAGTCCATCGCTGGACCTACGTCATCACAGAAAGAAACAAATTCTGCGCCATAAGGAAATGAAAGGAAACATCATTCAAAACCTAGAATTCTCCATAGACTTTTGAAACAGCTGGATCCAGCAGAGGTCACGCAAAACTGTCAAATTTTAATTTTAACCTCAAATTTTAATGTGAGGTACACACAAAGAAACTATGTGAGATAATAGTTATGTTAATTTGCTTGGCCTTAGTAATCACTTCACTATGTATATGTGTGTCAAAACATCACGTTGTATACCTTAAATGTATACAGTAAAAAAATATATATAATGGAATAATTTTAATTTTTCCCTTGCTTTCACAGATACAGAAAGTAGTGAATTGTTGCTCTTGCCTTT